TATCAAAACATTCCCTTGATTACAAATAGAATTTTCCCTCCCACATAACAAACTGTTTCCATACCTGAGAATTAAAAACTTTATAGATCTTTATAAAAAAAGGATCTTACAACTGAGCATGCATTTAGGTTATCTAGCCTGTTAAGTGGAGATATTTTAAGCAGACACCTGTCAAAGTCAATGGAATATGTATCATCTATGTCTCTCTCGCAAATATTGGTAATTCCCAGATGGGAAAAAATTTTGGGTCATCAAATCGATATAACCGAGTGGGCAAAAGGCCTCCATATGGTAACAAAAAATATTCATTTGTGACGCTATGTTATTGATTGTTAGACACATACTGGTTACACGGTTGTACTAACATCTTTTGCTAAAGCCACTGCTTTGCAGAGCTTGATTACGTCTATTTACAAGATTCTACTTCAGGCTTCACAATTGCCCTCGATATTTTGACATTTAATCCTGGTGAAGTATCAAATCGTTCCAGGCTGTACTTTGTCTTTTATACGTACTTGTCATTTTCCCTTCTTACCTCCCTTTGTGTACTCCTTTTTTCCTGGCTACAGCCTCTTGTCTTTGTTGAGCTATATTTGCTCATGAACAGTAGCTATAGCTATGACATTTTCCCTATTATTATTTTTGTATGTTAGTTTCTACCTTTTTTCCCGATTCAATAAAGTATCTTCGAGATTTTTAAATTAATAGCATCTTTTCACTTTACTATAGGGACACACACTTCTCTTCTTCTTTTTTTCATATTACTTTATTAGGGTTACCCCCTGGTGTGTCCTTTTTGGACTTGTGGCCACCTTTTTCCATTAATTAATATTCCATATTGCGGTTTCCCAATTTTTCATACTAATCATATTCCATTCAACCAGATACCAGAATTCTTTCTTATTATTTTGTAGTTGAGATCTATATATATATTAAGATATTAACTTTGTATAGATCTTCCACTAAGGGCATATTAATTCCAGCCTTTTTAGTTTTCAATGCTAAACTATTTCTGCATATTCTTGGAGGTCTACCTTTCCAAACAAATCCATCTAAACTTTTCTGGATCATTATTATGCAAGGAGATGTTACCTTTAAGGGGATCATCTGGAAAAGGTAAGACCATTTCGGCAGAACACAATTTCTCTGATAGTATTTACTCTTCCCCACCACGATATTTCATGCGAGCTCCATTTTTTTAAAAGTTTTATTGGTCTGTCTCAAAAGCCTTAAAAAGTTCATCTCCATCATCCTCTGTACCTCACTCACCACTTCTAGTATATTCTATACTTCATTTAGCCCACATAAATTTATAGTTATCTTGAATCTGGTCTATATCTATTGTTGTAATGTTGGAGGCCATTATTACTGATTTATTGGTATTTAACTTAAAATTAGATTCTATACTATATTCCTTCATTTCACTCATTAATGCCAACATTGATTCTTTCGGAGATGTCAGGTTAATTAAAATATTGTCAGCATATAGACTAATTTTTGTCTCCACGTTGTTAATCCTGAGTCCCTTTATTTATTTACAATTTCGGATATTCGCTGCCAATGGCTCTATAGATAAAATAAAAAGAAGGGGAGAGAGGGGACATCCCTGTCTCATTTCATTTGTAAGGCCAAACCAAGTGGAGCAAATATTAGGGCCAATTACGCTAGCTGCAGGCTTATCATATAAATCCATTATTGCTTGTAAAAATGTCCCTGTAATACCAAACTTCTCCAATACCAGTTCAAGGAAATCCCACCCGACCCTGTCAAAGGCTTTCTCTACATCTCTACATCCAGAGACAGAGTAAGGTGGGGTATCCCCTTTCTATTTACATAATCCAAGATGTCGATAATCCTCCTAAAGTTTGATGTTGAGGTTCTCTCCAGGACAAAACCTTCTTGATCTGGATGGATCAGTTCTCTAATAATAGTTTTCATTCTAGTGGAGAGAACTTTAGCATATATCTTCATTTCGACATTAATCAGTGAAATTGGTCGATAGTTGGTAATCTCTGTTGGATTCTTGCCCTGTTTTAATATTGGTATAATATTTACTCTAGTCATCTCTTCCGGGAATCTATCTCCCTCTAAAACATCATTAAACACCCAAGTTAAGACTTCCGAGATACTTGAAGCGTATATCTTGTAAAAAAAAAATGTGGAAAACCATCAGGGCCTGGAGACTTTTATTTTTTCAGATCTTTTATGCCGTGTTCTATTTCATCCTTTGCGATAGATCTATTTAATTGGTCTATTTGTAATTTTTTAAGGGCCGGGAGGGATGTCCTCTCAAGATATATCTCTATTAATTATATTCCAGGTCTAGATTCTACATTATATAATTTGGAGTAATAATCATTGAATGCTTGACCGATTCCTTCAGGGTTAACAAATGTTCTTGAGTCGATCTTTAATTTGTGTACTCTATTATCTGTTTGTTTTTTCTTTAATTTTCTAGTGAGCATTTTATCTGCCCTGTTTCCTCTATAATAATAGTTCATTTTCATTTTTTCAAGATTCGCTGTTATTCTTTCTATAACTTTATCTCTAATTAGGGCTTTATTTTTAATGAATTTATCTAAAATATCTTGTGATAAATTAATTTTATACTCTCTAGTCAATTGATAATGTTTTTGATAAAGATTTGATAATGGTCTGCTTATTTCAAGGGCTCGAATGTAATTGGATAAATTAACACAATCATAACTAAAATCTTAATTTTTATTTGAGAATCTTTTGCAGGCAATGACTGCTTAAAATGTGGAATGCTTTGACATCACCAAAGCTGGGTTTTCCCTTTGAGATGCTTTGCCAGGCCTTTACTGCAGCTGTTTTTAGTTTGTTCGTGTGTCTTTCTGTCTTAAGTTTTGTCTTCAGCAAGTGAAATGCATGCTCGACATCCATCTAAACTTTTCTGGATCATTATTATCCAAGGAGATGCTACCTTTAAGGGGATCATCTGGAAAAGGTAAGACCATTTCGGCAGAACACAATTTCTCTGATAGTATTTATTCTTCCCCACCACGGTTGCTTTTTCAGTATATTTTGGGTCATTGTCGGTCTGTAAAATAAAGCGCAGTCCAATCACCTTCACTGAATTTGGCTGAATCTGAGCAGAAAATATATCTCTATACACTTCAACATTCATACAGCTGCTTTTGTCTCATCATCAATACGCAGTAACACTAGTGACCCGGTGCCATTGGAAGCCATGCATGCCCATGCCATCACACTCTTTCTGTTTGACAGATGATGTGGTATGCTTCAGATCATGAGCCATTCCTTACCTTGTCCATACTTTTTTCTTCCCATCATTCTGGTACAGGTTTATCTTTCCAAACAATGCTGTTCCAGAACTGGGCTGGCTTTTTTAGATGTTTTTTGGCACATTCTAATCTATCCTTTCTATTATTGATGTTTCTGAATGGTTTGTCTTGTGGTGAATTCTCTGTATTTGCTCTTGTGAAAGCTTCTCTTCATGGCAGGCTTGGATAATGATATGCCTACCTCCCGGAGAGTGTTCTTCACTTGGCTGCATATTGTGAAGTGTTTTTTCTTTACCTTGGAAAGGATCCTACAATTGACCATGGATGTCCTGTTTCACTTGCATTGAGAGCTTCTTTGACCACATGTTGTAGGTTCACAGCAAAAGCTTCCAATTGTGAATGCCACACCTGGAATGAACTCTAGACCTTTAACTGCTTAATTTGTGAAGAAATAATGAAGGAATTGCCTACAACTGTCCATGAAACAGCTTTTGCGTCAATTGTGCAATTACTTTTGTTCCCTTTAAAACAAGGGGGCTACATATTATCCTCCAATTTGAATGGGAATACCCTCAAATTAAAGCTGAAAGACTGTACTTTAAGCCCGTATTAATTATATAACTGTAACTTTAATTTATTGTGGTAAACAGTTGAAATAACAAACCTTGTATTAGTTTCCAAATATTTCCAGACCTAACTGTATGTCTCAAAAAACAGAAAAGAGAAATCCAAAACATAGTGTATAGTGTATTATTAGTGGAATAAAATGTTTAAATTTAAAAGGTGTACACTCACACTTTCCAGAGCCCTTTAAATCTGGCTCTAAAAACAGAAGCAGTTGGTGTCTGAAAAGTTCCACCATACCTCTCTGTTGAAGGCACTCCACTTGGGGGATCCTCAAATAATGGAAAATATGCCAATAGTGTAGATAGTGATACAACAGCTGACTAATATAGTAAAATATAGGGTCACATTTTAATAAAGGGGGGAATTACAGGATTAACCCCTTTGCGCTCCAGGATACTGAACATCTCCTGAGTCATGGTATTACATGCCCACCTGCAGTTCATGGGATAGAGAGGAGGCCACTTTTTTTGTAAAAAACTAAATCAAAAAAATATTCAAGTTTAAGATGAACAAATCCAGTAGAATAACCCCTTAAGGACACATGACATGTGTGACATGTCATGATTCCCTTTTATTCCAGAAGTTTGGTCCTTAAGGGGTTAAGAGAGCAGGTTACATGCTAAGGTCTCAGAAGTCAGTCTACAATATGTCATAGTAAATATATAAATTCTTTAAGCTTATTTCCAATTTAAATTTATTCAGCAACAGCGTAGATATCTATGCCACCTAGTAAATTGAAATGTAAATCTCTAATGACTTAATTCAGAAACTATGTATAATGTAATTAATATATACACATACTATATACATTGAAGCCCAAGAAATGATGTGGATAGGCACAGGTGGGATCATAAATATATTTGAAATAAAAGATGTTGCTGTGTACAAAACTTGAAACACAATATATGTATATATATACATATAAATATATAAACCACATTAAAAGCAATATATATATATTGTGTTTAAAGTGGTTTCATAATTTCATATACAGCAAAATCTTATATTTCAAATACATTTATGCTCCCACCTGTGCCTATCCACATCCTTTCTCAGGCTTGTATGGAACTAGTGTATTTGACAAGATGTATTTCACAGTGATTGGGAGCACACGGTGATACATATTTTATTGAAACCAGTGCAAAAACCTGCAATATTTTATCTAATGAAAATATGAAAAAAAAACTCAAATGCATCTTTTAACTGCAATATTTATATTATCAAATTAAGCCTAAAACCAATCCATCTTAATTCACCATCCTATATTTTACAGAAAGCACAAAGCTCACAACTCAAACATAATTGGTCTACTTTATATGATGTTTTTATTATATATCAGAAACCTATTTGAGTTTTATTTCCAGTGTCATAGATTGACTTTGTCTTCATTCCAGGATAAACTCAGTGAATTCTCAATATGTTCAAGCTTTGATGGCTTTAAAATTAAAGTGATAAGAAACATGGGTTGGTCTCTTTGAAAGCCCCCTTGGCATATGAGCAGTTACATTCTCATTGCAACTTCCAGGGAGCAATGGGGGTCAAATACTATGCATGGCTTCCAAGCAGGCAATGGATTAAACAGCTATACTAGTTCCCTGGCAGCTTCATCAAAAACATTTCAACAAGGTGGCCTGGAGGTGAACCGGAGCGGCCGCATGCACTAGAGGCTCCGCTCCGTGACCGGCTTCAAAGGAGCAATTAAGCCCGCAAACGACCACACAGACAGACATGTCGCAACCTAAGGGGAAGAGGAACACGGAGAGAACCGAGAAGGCCAACTTCTTTGTATCCAGAGCTGGGCAAACTAGAAATCAGCCGCCACACGAGCTGTCCCAAGATGGCGCCGAGGATTTGACAGACAGCAGGGAGCACCAGGAGGAGACTGAACCTGCACTAACACACAGCACCATTAAAGCACTGCTGGATGAAATGGCAGCAAAACTACTGCTACAGCTAGAGTCCACAATTAAGGACATCAGAAAAGATGTGCAGGAGCTGGGGACAAGAACCTCAAGAGTAGAGGACAAAATGGCGGATTATGACACCGCTCACAATAACCTAGCGGGTACAGTAGACTCCATATTAGCCAAAATAGAAGCGCAAGACATGAAAATTGCTGACATGGAAGACCGCGCAAGGAGAAATAACCTCCGCATACGAGGCATACCAGAAACAGTGAGTGTTCCTGACCTCATGGCCCATGTGACAGGCCTCCTGAGACACCTACTGCCAGATTGGCCTCAAGAGATGCTGCTGATTGATAGAATCCACCGTACGGCAAAACCAAGTTTCTTGCCCCCAGAGACGCCTCGTGATGTTCTGCTTCGCATGCACTACTTCCACGCCAAAGAAGCAGTCCTGAACGCCAACAGAACGCACAAAGGCCTACCAGACGCATACAAGCATGTCGCACTATACGCTGACATCTCGGCCTTTACCCTGAAACGCCGCAGAGACTTCAGGGACATCACCCGGACCCTACGAGAACATCACCTTCCGTACCGCTGGGGATACCCAACTAAAGTATTGGTCAACAGAAAGGGGAAAATCACGGCCATCCAGACGCCAGAAGACGGACGAAAAATTTTGCAGGCCTGGGACATCGCAATACCAGCTACGACGACCACAGAGACGGGCACGCCACGACTCTCCCCGGACTGGAGAAAACCCAAAAGAAAATGAACTAAGACTTTCCTATACCAGGGGTGAACACCCTCGCAGAGTCGGTCTGAAACCAGGGCTGGGTAAAGTACTGTGAATGTAAAGATAGCATATAAGGTGGATACTGAGTGTGCGGCACTGCAGGGCCATTACCCCTATGAGAGAGAGTGGAAGAGAGAGGGAAAAGGGGGGGAGAAGGAGGCCGTAGTTAGACGACTCAGTCCCCCAACAAAGCCTATGACACCACTGGGTAATTCGGGGGAGGACAAGGAAAAGATGCAGCCAGTGTCCAACCCACGTGTAGACTAGAGACCCATACCCTACCGACAAAAAGTCCATCAGAAACACCCCACTGGTACAATACCCACTACCCCACTGACTTCTACAAAAAAAAAAAACACCAAATTTGGGTAGCGACATAAAGCAACAAACCCACACAGGGCGCTACAGTCACAAACCAAGGACAAATGAAGCCACAGGCAGGGAGGTATACCAGACCAAGAAGCTTAGCTTCAACCCCAAGGCACGTAGATGCAGTGCCCGGCCATACCTCAGGCAGAATTGTTATATGTATATACTTTTGTTGTTATGTTACTGTTATGCATTGTATATTTTTGTTCAGTTACTGGTATCCAAATCAAACCCCCAGAGGGGCACCCCACAGGGAACCCTGAGCACATACCTCTCTTGCAGACCACACTATTGGTTCTCAACCTCCCTAGACACAAAACTACTCCACATGACCTACGGGGCATCCGCACCCAACCCAAAAACGGGATGTCAGCACTCGGCTTGCTGAAGCTGGGAGGAGTGCTGTCCCCGGACGAAACACATAATACAAAACACTATAGCCCACTACACTATAAGAAACCACCGTGAGGATCTGCACATACAACGTACGGGGATTGAACACCCCCGCTAAAAGACATATGCTACACAGAGAGCTTAAGTCCCTCAATGCGGATATAGTATGTCTCCAGGAGACACATTTTAGACATAAAGATCACCCCACTATTCAAACGATGCAATTTCCACAACAATACCACGCCACGTCACCTACTAAATCTAGAGGCGCCTCTATCCTCTTAAGCAAACACATAAAATTCGAACCACAACACCATGAAACAGACAACAATGGCAGGTATGTCCTCCTACAGGGCAAAATCAACGATATGACCTACACAATAATCAATGTCTACACACCCAACACAAACCAGAGAAATTTCCTACAGAGCATTCTCAAAAAAACGAGCGCTATACAACAGGGAATCACGATAATCTGTGGTGACTTCAACCACGTCATAGATCCCAAAACAGACACCACGCTGTCACGACACAGACGGCGACAACGCCCCCTGAACAGACAATGCAAAGCCCTGCAGAAACTCATACACGAATACCATTTCTATGATGCATGGAGAACCACACATCCAGGGGAAAAAACATTTACCCACTTCTCACACGTCCATAACTCCTACTCTCGGATAGATGGTTTCCTCATCTCAGGGCAACACCTAAACCAAATCCACACCTGCGAAATAAAACAAATCACATGGTCCGACCACGCACCGGTGCTCCTAGACATGAAAAACTTATACGACTTCAAACACCGTAGCCCCTGGAAGCTAAATAACATGCTGCTCCAAAACAACGAATACACGAAAGAACTCGCAGATGACCTTGACTTCTACTTTACACAAAATGACAACGGGGAAGTGTCCCCGACCGCTGTCTGGCAGGCACACAAAGCAGTCATACGAGGGCTGCTAATTAAAAAATCAGCACACCTAAAAAAACAGGCGCAGACCACACTAAAATCGTGGCAACAAGAGCTGTGTGACTTAAATAGAAATAACCAAATACAACCAACGGCAGAAAACAAACATCGCATCATGACTATCTCTAGGCTTATACACCAGCAGGCATTAGATCAAACGCAATCCAACATGACAAGACTCAAAATATCACACTACATGCAGGGCAATAAAGCGAGTAAACTACTGGCTAACCAACTGAAGCAAAAACAAGCAAATCAAAAAATAGCCTACATCCTAGACAACAAAGGCCAGAAACGCGCCACACCTAGAGATATCAGTGAAACGTTCGCCAAATACTACCATGACCTATACAACCTGAAAGGGGACCAGAACACGACACAACCCACGGACACCAGCATAAAAGCTTACCTAGACAAACTAACCCTGCCACAACTCACACCACAACAGCAGACAGACCTAACCAAACCCATAGAAATACAAGAGATGCTCAAAATCATCCAAACATTGCCGACGGGCAAATCACCAGGCCCAGATGGCCTGACAAACTTATATTACAAGAAGCTCAGCCACGTATTAGCACCCCACCTAACAAAGACTTTCAACCACGCTATAGCCCAGAAATCCCTTCCAAAAGAGATGCTATTGGCTCACATAATTACGCTGCCAAAGCCCAATAAACCACCCACGACGCCGAAAAATTTTCGGCCTATATCACTCCTAAATACAGACGCGAAGCTCTTTGCCAAACTATACGCCACGAGACTGGGACTAATCATACCACACATCATTCACAACGACCAGGTGGGATTTGTAAAAGGGAGACAGGGGTCAGACAACACAAGGAAGGCCATAAACCTGCTATACAAACTACAAACACAAAAAGAGGGGGGATTGTTCCTCTCTCTAGACGCCGAGAAGGCTTTTGACAGGCTACACTGGGGGTTTCTAAAAGCAGTCTTACGGAAGTTCGGAATACCGGACGAATTTGGAGCAGTGGTAGACGCATTATACAGCTCACCCGAAGCACGAGTGTTAAACTCGGGTTTCCTGTCGGAGCCGTTTCGGCTCACTAACGGAACGAGGCAAGGATGTCCATTATCGCCACTATTGTACATCCTGGCCCTAGAACCACTAGCCACGCAATTCAGGGAAAATAGCAATATACACGGGATACAAGTGGGGAAGAAGGAATACAAAGCAGGACTGTTTGCGGATGACATAATGCTGACAATCACGCAACCTCACATCTCACTACCAAACATTCTTACTGAAATAAAGGAGTACGGGGACCAATCTTACTATACATTGAACGTTACCAAAACTCAGGCCATGGGGATAGGGATGACACAAGCATCACTAGACAGGCTAAAAGATAACTTCCAATTCGACTGGAGGGAGGATTACATCACTTTTTTAGGTCTAAAACTGCCAAAACACCCTCACCAACTGATGCAACTAAATTACGGCAAACTCCTGAAGGAAAGCGAAGAAACACTGAAAAGTTGGGAACACAAATTTCTGTCTTGGGTGGGTAGGCTGACTGCCCTGAAAATGATCTTACTCCCCAAGTTCCAATACCTTATCAGAACACTGCAGATTTTCCTCCCAAACAAATACCTAACCAAACTGCAACGCATATACACATCATTTGTATGGGCACACAAGAAAATAAGAGTGGCGTCAACAATTCTGAGCAAACCCACCTCCCAAGGAGGCCTAGGCCTGCCAACCGTCCGGCTATATTATGAGGCCGCCCTCCTGTCCACGAGTCTTACTCTACACACAGGGAGCAACAAGCCCCAATGGGCAGAGATGGAGGCTGCAGGGATATACCCGGGGGGCATAAAATACGTATTCTGGGTACCCCACAAATTGAGACCCAAACACAAAGACTTACTGCCAACCACCTCTTTACTCC